GATCATTCAGACCTTTTAACCTGATAATCCCTGCAGGATCGGAGCAGAGAAAGCATGAAAAGGTCATTGGTACAAATAAATAAGTAAACAAATTAAGGCAGGCTGTTGTGTAATAAACATCACATTTTCATAGATTTTTTATTTAGTGTTCACTTGAAACACCAGGTTTCCCAGGATAGCTGTCTTATATTTGTACTTGTGTATGGATGTGCATGTTTGTAACTTAATATTTTATACAGTATATTTAAAATGTTTCAACAGAAACAACAAAAATCAAACTGATGCTTTTTTATTATTATTTATTAAACCTATACTTTGCTGTAGGTCAGACAAAGAAGAGCAAAAACAAAACCATTAATATTTCCTGTCCCTGTCATCTTTTCCACCAGGATCTAATGGTGGGAGAAGAGGCCAGCGAGTGTCGCTCCATGCTGGAAATGTCCTACCCCATGGAGAATGGCATGGTGCGCTGCTGGGAGGATATGCTCCACCTGTGGGACTACACCTTTGGCCCAGAATGCCTGGACATCAACCCAAAAGAATGCAAGGTATGAACCCGTGTAAGACAGACAAAGACGGAAATGAATGGAAAAAAAAAACTGTACAAGGACTAGATTATTATTGAGTTTGTGTATGTTTTCTATCCAAGATCCTACTGACTGAGCCGCCCATGAACCCAACCAAAAACCGCGAGAAAATCGCTGAAATCATGTTTGAGAAGTATCAGTTCTACGGCATCTACGTGGCCATCCAGGCCGTGCTCACTCTGTACGCTCAGGGTGAGAGGGCGCGAAACGCTGCACAAAAATAAAGGGTTTAAATCCTGACCTGCTGTTAATGGTGCAATTGAATGGATATTTGGTCAGTTTTAACTCCTGCTTTGTTAAATGACTCTGTCCACAGGTTTGCTTACTGGTGTTGTAGTTGACTCAGGAGACGGCGTCACCCACATCTGTCCAGTGTACGAGGGCTTCTCTTTGCCCCACCTTACACGCAGGCTGGACATCGCAGGACGTGATGTCACACGCTACCTCATTAAGGTGAGCTGGAAAGATCAGTGATCGGGCAAAGAGTTGGGGTTTTTTTAGTGTAAGGAAAGTATATGTACAGTTTCACAGCAAACATATGTGTGAAAAAAATGTTCTTCCCATCAGCTCCTGCTGCTTCGCGGCTACGCCTTCAACCACACTGCTGACTTTGAGACTGTGCGCATGCTGAAGGAGAAGCTCTGCTATGTGGCATACAACATTGAGCAAGAGCAGCATTTGGCCACAGAGACCACTTACCTGGTGGAGACATTCACGGTACGTTGGAGCAAGCTTTAATTTATTCTGCCTCCTAAAGTCGAGAAACGTCAGAAAAAATAAC